ACAAGAGGAGCTGTTGTAAGACCTTGCGGAGTATAGACATAAAAATAACTTATCAGTTTTATAATTTAAATTATTCAATTTCTAGAAAGTCAGATCTATTTCCAATAGGCCTATATAGTTCGAAATTGCTCATAAAATTAACAACTTAAAAATAGATCATTCATGCATCTAGAGGTTTTAAAAAATATATATAATCTAGACATGACAAACTCTTTTTAAAAACAACAAAGTACCAAAATAATTTTGCTTTTCTTGCCTTACTGATGCTTTAAGGCAGTGATACTTCACTTACAGCATGTATATAGGATGCCAGGTGGCCAGCCAACCATTTATTCACAATTAAAGAAATCACATGCTTGGAACTTTTTTTTGGTAGTTTGAATGTAAATGTGGTGCCAAAAATACAGCTTGTTTATTTTTTTTTAAAATGCCATGGATGATATTCCAGACTCCCTGAAAGAGGTCCAGGCAAATGATTTATGTATTAATTATTATTTTTTATTTATGAAGTCACTGCTGGTTTCCTGTCATTTTGGAAAAGTGATCCCCGGGCAAAGCAAGTTGAGTATCCCTGCTTTAAGGTGTCTTCCTCTCCTAATGGCACATTCCTGTACAGCCCAGCCTGTAAGTCATAAAGCGTGTAGGCGCATGATGCCTGCCTGTCGAATGTTTCTGCAGATTTATACACGTGCAGTCTACTGTTTATCATATGTCACATCTCGTGCCCAGAGTCCACAGTTCCCACCAATGAGAAGGTCTGAATTCCAGTGAAATTTGTCTCTGGCAGATAACAAGAGAGGAGTCATCTATCAAACTGACACAGAAACATTATACTACAATTTGAATTGTTAATTTATTATAAACTTCATCCATTGAAAATGTACCAAAGTGCTTCATTCCTTACGTGCCATAGGGATAAGAACACAAACAGTTTTTATGAAACATATGCATGAAATATTCCTGTCAGAGTTAGTTATTGTAGATCATTGGAATTGATTCATTGGAGTTACATTGAGACTAGGGTTGGGAATCGTTAGGATTTTAACGATTCCGATTCCTTACCGATTCCTTCTTAACGGTCCAATTCCTTACCGATTCCTCTTACCGATTCCTACATTATATTCATTATACTTGCTATACTTAAACAAGTATATAATAAACACAAATGCAATCATACAAATACAAAAACTTTATTCTAACTGTTGCACAGTACAATTAGATGAAAATACACATTTGTGTGTGGTGTGTATTTCAGATTTAGAGCTTGTATCATCTCCTTGAGAATATATAACGACAAAAAGTCATTCTCTGATTTCTGCAGTAACACTATTACCTCAAATTAACCACAACAATGTAATAAAAAATACTTGTATGCATTCATGCTTGGGCACTGTTATTTACGTGACAACACCTGAACAGAACACACACACACATTGGCTGTTTGTTTCTACCGCTCCCCTCGCTGGAAGTCTTGGACCTCCCGCCTCCCACTCCCGTCTCAAACACGGAGGTCTTCCTCTCTGCTGAGCACCCACGGCGCACGCCCGGCCTGTTAAATAGCCTGTAACCATGACAACTGTGTGACACAAACTCAGTGCTTTGGTCATTAAATAATGTCAGGCTCGGTCGGGTTTGGACAGAAATATGCGGCCCGTGCCACACTCTAATGGAAATGCACGTGACGTTTTTTTTTTTACAATCTAGGAACCGTTTGCAGGAACCGTTACTCCAAATGTGATGGAACCGGTTCCGGAACAGGAACTCTGGACCCAGTTCCAAAAAAGAACCGGATCCGGATCCCAATTCTAATTGAGACACTGGCTATACACTTGCACCGCACATGAGCTCCTATTGTGCTTATTCTATGTCATTATGTTCTTATAAAAAAAGTTGTGACTGTAAGGCATGCTGTGCAAAAATGTTACTTATGAATGACATTAGGGTATTAAAAATAGTAAAATAATTATAAACTAAAACAAGACTTACAGTTTGATATGATAGAATTGTTAATGTTTAATGCATGCAATTCACATTATATTACATATGAAGTATGCATGATTAAAAACAATTAAAAAACTTTTTCATCATTTAAAACGTTTAAAATATATCAACCATATTGAATACTTTTATATTGTAATTAACTGTAAAACAGTGTAAAAATTTATATAAAGGTACTTAATACTTATTTAAATTTGCATTAACTGTAATATTAATTTAAAATACATTTTGTACATGTTTAAATGTAATTTGTCACGTATGTAATGTGCTCGAAATGTTTATTAATATTATCATAAAAAAAAACCACTGCATTAACATTACGCAGAACGAGTGTGTTATTTTTTTATATGGGCTAATGCTGTTAGGTGGGACACTTTCTGATAATTTATCCTCTGTATCCTTTTTAATTATGATCCAAATATCTTCACATGATACTCTTCTAAATACTAAACATTTTTGGGGGCACTATTGGACACCTTTATTGGCACAGTGGGACACCTAAAACACATTCTATTCTTATTTTAGTGATGGCCTAATTAATCAAATACACAATAATTACAAAAAAACCCAAAACAATAACATCACTTTTTTAAGGAGGGGTGCAGGTACAGCAGATTACATCCCTCAACAAATTATATAACATTTACAAAGTATCACTGATTTTTAAAATTTTGATAACCTTTCCATCGTGGCTCACTGGGAAATTGTTAAATATGGTGTGCCACACCCCTGGAAATGATGTGTGTGTTGTGTTATCACATACTCGATTTTTAGTGAGGGAAGTATATAAGGTGTTAAGATAAAAACGATAATGATTAACTGTCCCACTTTACCCATTGTCCCTCTTGACCAGTATTCACTACTGTCAGGTTACAGGTGTTGAGTGATTTTCTGCTCATTGGTGCTGGATGAAGTTAATCTCTTATGTGACACAGTTATAATGACACACAATGGGTCAGTTTTTGATCTAGTGTCTTTTTATGATTCTATCGTTGAAATATTTCAATGATAGAATAATAAAATGTATAATAAAATGTATGTCATGAGACAAGGCCAAGGATATTCAAAGGTCAAACGACAGAGTTCACCATCCTGCACAGCACATTTTTGTGACAGATCTTTGTAAGAGTTTTGAAGTTACACTCCTGTGTATGATTAGAAAGAGATGGAATGCTTTTTTTTTTTTTTTTTTTTTTTTTTTTTTAAGGTAACACTTTCACCACCAATCAAAAACAAGGATTGGTGTAGCAGAGTGACCAGTTATGGGAGCTTTAGGAAGCTTTATTTCACTCCACTGCTGTAATTTCTCGCGCTCAATCCCCGCCGTCAGCTACAACTGTGCCCAGAGGCTTCATTCAAGGGTCACAGTGTTGGGATTATCTGAGAAAAAAAAAAAAAGAAAAGAAAAGAAAAAAGAACTGAGAGAAACTGCTTGTAACCCCCTTTGCCTCCTCCTCCTCCTCCTCCCCCCTCTCCCGCCCTTCTCCCCTCTCACCAACGGCCTCCATCTATAAACTTGTGCCAGCTGTTGCCTCGTGCTAAACCCTGCTTAAGAGAAACAGACCTAAAAGGCCCAATCAAGAGCGCAGCTCCACTGTGAGGTTATTGCGCCACCACAGGCTCTGGCCGGGGCCGTCGGTGCAGCAGCCCAACAGAGCTCAGTCACAGTTAGAGACTCTAACTGAGTTAGTAAGGCTTAAGTTTAATTTGGAGGTGCACCGTGGATCAAACTCTGTGATACAGATCACACTGACGTGCAGAACAGTGGGCAGTCTAAACACAGGCCCAATTTCTCTGACTTCACTCACAAGTTTGAAACAAATTATACAATAAATTTGTGGAAAAGAATGAATGTGACATGAAGGACAAAATTAATGAACCAACAAAATGTGACTTTGGAAGATTCAACTACACAGAGATTTAAAATAAAGTATAACTTTACTAGTAGGAGCACAAAAATATATGTCCTAATCCTCCCTTTCTTTAGTCTCAACTTTTTGCCCGAAGGAAAACCGAGGAGCAGCGAGGACAGAAAGGAGAAAATGGAAGGACAAAAAGAAAAGGAAGCACTGCGTCCATTTGCAAATGCAAACATTGTGGTTGGGAGACTGGACGGCTGCAGGGGGCGAAAGCTCGGTGAGACCGACGATCAAAAAGCATGTGACAGTTTGGGGGTGAGGAAAAGGCCCGTGGGACAGACACATCGCGAGTTCAGGCAGGGGTTAGTGTGGCACGAGGAGGGAGCTGCTACTTCTACACCGACTGTTCCGCCTCCACCGCATCATCATCATCATCATCATCATCACCACCGCCGCCATCGCCAGTCCTATCACAGAAATCTGCATCAGCATCGTTCAACTCTCTATGAACCCTGACGAGTCTGATAATTTGGCCACGAGGTCAGGCGGTTTTAAGGATGAGTTGTTTTCATTTTAATCCATTATAAAAAAACAAAAAAAACAGGGTGAATCAGAGGCCACCCTGACCTAAAATAACTTCTGAAGTACACACTGGATCACTTCCTT